TAGGAAGATGAGCTCTGTATCCAAAAAAGGGCGTCCTGCCGTAGGGTAAACTTTTTGCAAAATGCGACTACTCTCAAATTACCCCTCTAGTACGATCCCACTTTACAAGCCCACCTGCCATCTTCCTAGCACTTCCCAACTTCCTACCAGTTCTTCCTCATGAGACTGTTTCCAAGCGGTCATAAAAGGGGGAATATAGCGCTTTTGTATCAGGAAAAACCAAGGAAACACAAGTGACAGGAAAAAAGCGAGGAAACACAACCATGAAAAAATTCTTTTCAAAGGCAATTACGTGAAAAGGTTTTCCTCAAAGGCAATTATGAACCCCTATTTCCGGCCATGAAATGCCACCTCCCTCGCCGGGGATCTCCCAAGTGTGTTTGTGATAATCATTGCATTGATCTGAATTTTTTTATAAATTTTTAATCCAATTGTTTTGTTTTCATTGAAGGGCTGCACGGTTCTTGGCACAAGAGGAGCGTCGGCTAATGATGGTTGGCAAAAATGTACTGTCTGAAAGAGAGGAGCGCAAGCGATTGAGAGCTAGGGAAAGATACGAAAAGCAGTTTCAATCGTTGATAGGAGTCACCATATGCCTACCGGAGGCGTTCCATGATAAGGTAACAAGAAACTGCCACAATTCCATCGGTTGCCCGTTGCTACAAGCCTTTTTTCGTTCAGCAAGAAAAGAAAGCTCGACGAGCCCGCCATCTAACAACTTCTCCAGAATATTTTGAATGGTTCCAAGAAAAGGCAGAGATCAATGGTGTGGAGCCAAAGCAGTTCAGAGAGGTTAGAATTAGCTGATTTCCTCTGTTGGCCTGAATAGTACTAGTTCTCTTCAGGAATTCACAAGGGTTACTGGCGACACAATTCCATTTCTTCCTCCCGGATTTTCAACGCAGTTTTTCGAGTAAGTGGCAGCCTTCCACAACTCTAGTTATTGTACGCACTTGTAGCGTCTAGCTGACGCAAAGTATGAGCGCACTTGTACTCTTCATCGGCGCAGTTCAGCTTGGAGGGGGCATTTCTCCGATTTTCCTAAATCATTGCCGGTTTGGTTCCTGAAAATTTCTTCAATGCTGTGCAAATAGCACACTCGGTTCACGAAGTTACGGGAGTTTACGTCTTTCAAAAAAACGTGCTAATCCAACAGGGATAAGCATAAGGAACTAACCAATGCAGAATGCGCCGCCTCAAGCCGAGCAGTGCCCTTTATCAGTCCACTTCATTGAATAAAAAAATTGCAAGTAAACAGATTCGTTGTCAAGGTATCTGGACAACCGTGAGAGCTGTGACGCAGCCGAGGAACATAAACTCCAAGCGATAAAGGAATCCAAATCTGCGTTGAACAAACAGCTAGATGCACAGATTACCAAGCTGAAATTGGTGAGTTCCCTCTATACCAGGCACTGCTTTTGCCCCCTTTATTTCCGAGGTCGAAAATATAATAGTATGCAGACGGCTGCAGGGATGTAATTGCGCTCAATTGGACCACACAAGACATGTGGCAGGTGGGAGAGTTCAGCTGAGCGCCTTAATCTGCTCAGCCAGTTCAGCGATGGTTCAAAATCACTGGCGCTGTAGGAGGTCGAAAACTGAATTACGTAACTTTCGGAGTAAAACACCTGCCGTTGGGAATTTTGTAAAATACGACCGCGCCTGAAATCTCAACTTCCTTCCCTTTTTTCTATATCCTCTCTGCTTTTCCTTGAAAATACCGCGACCCCATCCTTCGCCCCAAACAACCTTTATTGAATTCCCCGCAAGTTTCTTTCTTTGCGCCGCATCGAAAGAATACTGCCACTTAATCCCCTCTAACTGCCGTCGAGCCTGGCGTGGGGAAAGAGGAAGCGTCACTTGAAGCAGGAAAAAACCCCCCGAAAAAAGAACAGCCTAAAGTATTTCTCTAAGGCAAGTACGACTCCTTCCCTCCAACGATCAAAACGATCGCCCTCGTTGGGATCGCCAGCGCTGGCGTGCCGTGACTGTCACGCTGTTTTTTTTCATTGACGACTTTTTCTCACTTTTTTCGTTGCTGACACATCGTCGCAGATATGGCGCTAAAATCAAATCGGGCGTGAATTTTGGGGCCCATTTTATAAAGGGCCGATGTGGAGAGAACTGTGCACCATCTCTTTTTATACCCTTAGAAAATATGCATGTTTCAGAATGAACAACTGGCGGAAATGGCGAGAGGGTGTAGTGAGCAAAGAAGACAATTAGCGATTGCGTTCCATCGTGTGCTAATGAAACTTGGCGCAAGAAAAATTGCCGCACATTGTCCGGTAACCAGTGAGAATACTGTCACCGGAAAAACGTTAGTATTGTGTTATCTTTTCTATGGGTCTTTATTCCAAACAAAGTTGGTGTGAATTGAGTTCCCAGCCCTCCTATTTTCGCTTATCTTTTTATTTCCCATGTTTTCAGGCCAAATCGTCAAGTCAGAGATGCTCGAACCCTCGATAATGAAACTCCACCACCGAAATTGAAGAAAGAAGTGTCGATTCATTTGTGCAAAGAGTGTAGGAAGGTCAGTGGTGGATAGCTGGTAGCGTTGTAAAGGGATCGTCAGCGGCAGCGGACGTGCACCGATGTCCGAGTGGTTAAGGAGATTGACTAGAAATCAATTGGGCTTTGCCCGCGTAGGTTCGAATCCTGCTCGGTGCGAATGTTTTGCATTTTCACTATAGTATACCTCTACAATCGTAGTTTCTTATGATGTTTCAAATTGTTATTGATTTTCCCAAAAATCAATACAATACGTGAATGAACATGGCCGAGCATGCGCTGCAAGGTAGCGCGGGTTGCCGCAGTTATCGCAGCCC